TTGACAGAGAGGCTGTCCTTTTTTTTCTGACTAGATCAGATATAATAGGTTATAATCTGAGAGAGGAGACAATGTGTCCAAGCCTCCATATATATGGTTATATGGTGTGTTTTTTTCCTAACACACATGCATTTCATGAAATCTACTCAATCTCCAATCTCTTCATCCCAACATTGCATATTACTTCAGAAACTAGTAAGTTCTAAAGCAAAAGAATAGTTTTTTACATGTTTCTCTGGGAAAAAAATATCATGTTTTAATAATGTCCTTGTCAGCAACATAAAATATATTGCAAACACATTTGAGCTACAAAAACATGAACACCTCTGCATCAATTTTCTGCCTCCTAATGTTAGCATGAAGACAAATGGAATGGTTGCTACAGTCAGATCTCAGATCCGATGCTCAAGAGTGTTATACATATATCTGATAAATAGTGTTTACATGTAACATGACTGATCTGAGAAAAGCAGAGCATTGCTTAACTGCCTTGTTTAAAAAATGTTCAAAGATGAACACACATAATGGTGGAAGATTAAAATTAAGATATCAGTCTATATAGATTTAGACTCATGGTGTCAAATATAGTTGCAAAGCAGCAGGCTTGGTCTTATATATCTTTTTTTCTCTTTACATGACCAAAAGAGATAAGAGTTCCCAGTTCTCATCATTAACATTTATTATTTTTATGCATGATCAATTGAGGTTACTATAAATCAGGCCAATATTTGTAGCAGTTACAATGTTTAAAGCATTTTCCAGTGAAATATGTAGTGATCATAAAAGTGGACAAGAGACGCAAACAGCAAGCAAAATTTGCATTGTTAGCTTGTACTCTGTTATAAACATAAAAGTGTGCCTTGTCATTAGTAACTCATTCACACTTTAGACTGATTACTGCAATGTGCTCTGTATTGGGCTGCCTCTATACACTATCCAGGAGCTGTGATAGATACAAAATACAGCCATCTGCCTGAGTGAAAAACCCCTATATGGTAATAACACCAGTGTAGCAGGGATGAGAAAGTTCTGATTAAAGCTTTAAAGTCAGGTCCCCAAGACCTTCTGCTCTAGAATCTACATTGATTCCACAGGCCTCAAGGAAGGATTTTATGAGTTCTTCCCAATGTGAACTACAGGGAAGCATGTTTGGTTTCACTTATGATTCCATCCCTCTGAAACAGACATACCTGGATGGGGCTTGTTCTATTTATATTGGGAAAATTGAGGAAGGCTGAGTTAATTCATAGAATTTTTACAATCCAATCTTAGTTGGTCACTGGGACCAGAGGTTTAGTCTCCCAAGCTTTCAGACTTGTGCTGGAGCCCATCCTCAGGGAATCTCTCTCTACACACCTTCTGGTAGAGAGAAGTTCCCTGAGAATGGGCTCCAGCATGAGTTCAAAAGCTTGGAAGACTAAACTTCTGGTCCCACTGATCAATCCAGATTGGATCCTGCAACATTATCATGGGACACGTATATTTGTCTTCATTCATAAAGATTTTTTAATTGTTCAGGTTGCTACTGGAGATGGCAAGTCAAAGATTGTTTATTACATTATGCATTTGTCATTCTGTTTTAATTGTATTTGTTATGTTTGGGGTGATTTTAAACATACATTTTAAATATATGTTTCAAATTGGAGTGTGGCAGTCTATAAATATAGCATATAAACAAATACAGTCAATCTCCAAAGAAGTATATGTATACAGCTTGAACTACTGTAATGTGCTCTACATTTGGCTACCCTTGAAGAGCGTTTGGAAACTGCAACAGACACAGAGTGCAACAACATTGCACTCTTTGAAGGCTCCTAGAGTGGCCCATGTTACACCACTGATCCAAGAGCTGCAATGGCTAGTGGTTTGCTTTTCAGGTGCAATTCAAGGTATTAGTATTATCTATAAAACTCTGCATTGCATGGGCCCAGGTTACTTGAAGAACCATCTCATCCCTATGGGGCAGGCTTATACCATATGTGCTGGCAGAAGATGCATGCTGCAGATCCCATCAGTCAAGGAACTCTGGCTGGTGGAGTCCAGGAGAAAAGCTTTCTCTGACATGCTGACATTGGCTCCCATACTTTCTGATTTTCCATAACAGCCTGAAAACCTGGCTCTGCCAGTTCGCTTGGGGCCCCAATTGGAGAATTTCACACTGGCCGTAGTTGAGCTAATAGCAGTTCCCTCCCCCTATATATTCTCCTCTCTCCCTATTGTTAGTAATATCTTGTATTTATTTGGGCTTTGAATGTGATTTTATATATTTATGGTACATCTTAATGTTGTAAGCTGACCAGAATTGCCTTGTGGTGAGATGGGTGGCAAACAAATTTAATACATAAATACACATACGCACATATGTATATCATACATACATACAAACATATACAAAACATTAATTAGAAATATGCTCATCTTTCCAACTTCATATTATTTTTAATGTAGCCTACAGGCTTTTGTAAAAAGAACTATAATACACCAACATGTTTCAAAACATTATGCCTCTGGTCATTGTTAATGGTAGTGAATCTGTTTAGAAACAAAGTTAAGGAGTGAGGCAAACTATCCTTTGAAATATGGCAAGGACTCATTTGTGGACCCTAGAGTGCCAAAATCATGGGCAGAATATTTTGCGCAGCCTTTTTAATTTTATTTGGGAAAGAGCAGTTCTGTCTCATTTAACATTTCAGGATTAAGTAGAACAATCTGAATTGCAAGTCTGATCTTGACAAATGTGAACTGTTATCTACTGGCAGGCTTATGTAATTATAAATTTCTTGGTAGAATCTGAATTCTAAGGGACCTATAGGTCATTCCATCCTATATCCTACCCAGTGCAAGAATCCACTAAATCATTTTCAACAAAACTAGCTCCAGTGTGAAGACCTTCAGTGTGGCAGAGTACATTATTGCTCTAGATAAACTGCTCCAATAATTAACATTTCCTTCTGTCAGAAAGTTCCTCCTAATATTCAAGTTGAATCTCTTTTCTATTAATTTTAACTGATTGGCCTTTAAACTACTCTTGAGTTTCAACAGAGAATATGTTCTTTGTCTCTTGTGTATGATAGCCTTTTACTTGTAGAACTTTATCATCTACTGGTATAAAGATATAGATATCATCTATACTTATATAACCATATGCACCTTGCTTCATTCCTTGCCCTCTTTGTTAATTGCAAATCAATTTAATGTTAACATTCATTATTTTAATAGTTTAATGTTTTATCTTATTGCATTTACTTGGTCATAAGCTGCCTAGAGTCCCCTCTTGGTGAGATGGGTGGCATATAAATTTAATAAATAATAAATGAATAAAAAGAATATTATTCTTTTGGAAGTTAAATATGCTTAGTGCCTTAAACATTCTTCATAGGATTTGGCTTCCAGACCCTTTATCATTATGGTTTCTTCTTTGTGATCCAATAGCACCTTTTTCCATGTCCCTTTTAAAATGTATTTAGAATGTTGTTGCATTCTGACTTGGATGGCTTTTGCTAATGCAGCCCAATATTTCATTGGTCTCCTAAGCTGCTGCCTACTTATATTCAGCTAGTGGTTTATTAGAATCCCTAAATCATGTGCAGTGCTGTCAAGAAGATCTTTTCAGTCCTGTATCCATGGACATGATTTTTCTTGCAGGACCTAAAAATGCAGGACCTAAAACTTATCACTATTGAGTCCCATTTTTGACCCAGTGTAAAAGCTTCTACTTAGAATTGTGATGTTGACATTAATCTTGCAAATTTGATCACTATTCCTTCCACTCCTTCCCCTGGATGATTTAGAAAGGTGCTGAACAGGGTGAAGTCTATCAGGTTCCACTAGATGTTTTAATGCTTTACCTGAAACATGGCAGATACTGAAAGAAAAACAACATTAGAGTAGGATCAAAATCATCTTTTAGGAAAGGAGATCTCCATTAATAATAAGTTCCTTCTTAGTTGCCCTGCAGTTCAGGAAACATAGCTGTGTAGCATCTGGATACCATCAAAATTATATTCCTTTCTGGCAGTAAATCAAGAGTGGGCAATCCTTGGTTCACACATCCTATATGGTATTACCACTATTTTGGTACTGTGTGTGTGGAGGGAGTGGAATCTAGATTGCATTCCGTTGACATAACATGCAGTGTTATGCTATGCAGCAACAAACATGTCCAATACCACTGCAAAATAATTTCTTTTGTAATGCTAGGCATATTTACTCAAACAAAAGTCCGTATGCCTAGTAGTGGCTAAAAGCTATAAGCAGAAATGATTTGCTTTACTCATCCCTGCATGGTAAACGTTTAGACCAGTGTTATTCAACCTTTGCAACCCTAAACAGTGTGGACTTCAATTCCCAGAATTCTCCCGTCAGCCACTCTGGATCAATAGTATCTTCTTCCACTGTTAATCAAATAGAGCAAGAACATTTCTTTAATATGATTCTAAAAAGGAAAAGTCTACTCTGACTGTTGATGCTGGTGGCCAGGAAGCAGTGGCAATGAGGTCAAAGACAGACCTGATTTGCATTCTCCAAAGTAGCCTGTTTCCTCCAATTTCAGGGAGAGACAGTTTTCTGTTTCTCCTGAGGAAGAACATTAAATTATGGTATATAACCATTTCCTACATATGGAAAGAGAAAGAAGCACTATCTCATTTTTCTAAATATTTCCTGCTGGATGAAGGAGCCACTGGAGGCAAAGTACATTTCAGTATATCCTGTCTCAAACATAGAAAACATAGAAAAGGGAAAACCCCATCTTAAGGACATTATTTATATATTTTTTAAAAATCACATGTCCTGCATTCTCTCTCGAAAAGCAGGAGCATGAAAAATGAACCCCCAGTGGGCTTTAGCATAAAATCCTCCTTTTTTCCAAAACAGTCAAAGTTTCCTATCAAATGAGACTTCCCGTGCCAAAAGACACACTTTAGTAATGTTCTGCCATTTCTACCATGCTTTTAAAAACCTTCTTTGGTAATATATGTTCTCCTTCTTCTATCCTGCAGGGTCTCCCTACAGGGACAAGATAACTATAGCCATTCTTCACTTGCAAGAGGAAGGCAAGCTACACATGATGAAGGAGAAATGGTGGAGAGGAAACGGTTGTCCAGAAGAGGAAAACAAAGATGCCAGTGCCCTTGGAGTACAAAACATTGGTGGCATCTTCATTGTTTTGGCAGCAGGATTGGTACTTTCCGTCTTTGTTGCAGTGGGGGAGTTTTTGTACAAATCCAAAAAAAATGCTCAGTTGGAGAAGGTAAATATTGCCCTTTTCACATTTAATTCTGCAATTATGGTCTAGTCAAAATCTCTTGGGCAACCAACCGAAAAGCCATTCTGATGTCTTTCATAGTTTTGCTCACATCATTAAAGTTCTTAGGGAATGAGCGCTGAAGTTTTCATCTTTACAACTTTTAATGTGTCGTCAATATTTTTAATTGTAGCCAGCTTTCAGGACACGTGACTATTTCTCCTCTTATTCAAGCTTGAAAAAAGACACCCTTTTACTCCTGGAAGTTCACTGCAGTTAATTTTATGGATGAAGAAGAAAGTGAAATCTGTTAATTGGAAACAAAATTAACCTTCTACAGATAGAGCTGGGTATTAACTGAAACAACTTTCTATCAGTCCAAAGTCAGAAGTCTAAAAAGCATCTTTCTCTATGCCCTTATTGGAAGGTGTTTACTCTTCAACATATGATGATAGCATCTGGAAAAGCATTAAGTCAATATATTAAGGATTTACTATTGATTATGATTTTATCATCTGTAACTTGGACAGATTCCAGTTTTAAAATGTAAATTTTTGAACTTATTTGATACTGGATCAACAACTGGATGGCTGATTACTTTTTCAAAGAGACAAAAGCATCCATAGAAGTTTTGTTTCAGTACTTATCTGTATATATGTAATACGTAAAATGAGCAAACATGTCTTTTATTTTATGGATTGCTATGAATATACATTTAAAAACAGGGAGAAAATATGTTTTGCACAGCTGAGGAGCTTGTGACCTCCTTAAATGCCTATTTTGGCATTACTATTGTTAAAATGTACAGTAAATCCAAGAAAATCTACATACAAACACACACAAAGTATATATTTCTTTTGCAGATGCTATGCTTAATAGTTCTCATAATTTTAACATTATGGGGGACTTCTGAATTTGCACTTGTAGATTAATCCTACTTGTACCACATTTATTTAGTATGCAATTATACCCAGTTCACTGGTGTAAGTGTGTATAGATCATTATCTAGCTTTTTTCATTAGTAACACATATATTATTTTTTCAAAGTTCTGTTAGAAGAAATATGTATATTAACTTTTTTTTTTAAAAAAATGGATGAGGTCACAAGTTCCTTATCAGTTCTTTGAATATGTAGGTGTTTTACTAAATTTATGATATAAGTGAAAATTTAGTTTTTCGCTAATTATGGGGGATGGATTTATTCTGTCAAGATAGTTTTGAAGTTTTTAGTAATTAAAATGAACTTTTCTTTTAGAAAATGGACTTCAATCATGAATGTATACATCATAATGGCTTTATACTTTTTAAAAACAATATGTCAGAAATGAGTGATTGTTTTGTATTCTTGGTCTGTAATTTTTTTTATAAAAACTATTTATTTATACATAAAGTTCAAACATTTTATTGTGAGTTTTGTAATATAGTTGAAGTTGCATTTAAATTGCTTAGATGCAGCTTTAGTTGATATATGAGAATATGATGTGAACAGCATGATTTATCTTCCTAAGCATATGCATATATATGAAATATGATTTTTACAATGATTTAACATTACAACAGTTCATATATTAAGCAATCTTGAATTGTTCAAACACTTCTGTAATATAGCACTGAACTTTTCTTTCATTTATGGTACACAGTTATCTAGATGTATGTGTCTTCTACATAGAGATATAATAATGGGAGATTATGGCTGTGCATATGGTAGATTCTACCTGAAAACTGAGCCTTGGATATAATCATTTGAACAAAAAGGAACAGGGAACAGAGACTTATGTGCCAAACCCAGTTCAAGGACTTACTGAATGCTGTTCTTCTTTTTCACTGCTGATGATCACATATTCCACATACATATTTAAAGGAAAGTTCTACACAGCTTTAGTTGACCATATATAGAAGCCTCTTTGAGTTAGAAACCCAGATAATGATGATGATGATATAAGATTTACATTCCATCTCAGATAAGCTAGAAATATCCATAATTATTGGGAGGTTGGCATTCTAAACATGTTCAGTTTAGTGCAGGTGGAAACTTACTTGAGTTCGTCATATTGGACATACTGGAATGGAGAAGATGGAAGCACTACAAGCTAGTGCAAGTAGAAATTTCTGCCCCAATGCATTCCAGCTTAATGTCTAACATTGATTATGTCCTTCTGATTTATAAAAACTCACATGATGCATATTATTAAAACAACACAGCACTTTGGATCAGTTCAGGAAATGTGCCACAGTGTACATGTGAATGAAAATGCATTACTTTTTTATAACTCTTGTAAGCTGCTCTGTGTGTGTGTGTGTGTGTGTGTGTGTGCGCGCGCGTATGCGTGCGCGCATTTTAATGGAATTGGGAGTTGCTCTGGGCAGTTGTTTGAATGATTTACAGTCAAATGTTAAGTTTGCATCACCATGTACCACAAATCAGATTTGAAGCACTGCACAGCCTTACTGTATAACGTCTTCATTCTAGAGACGTGTTGCACATTTTCATTTTCTTGTTTGATCATTTGACATTTGTCTTTGTTTAATTTAAAGGCTATTTCTTTGCATATAACCTAAACATGACAATGTATTGAGCTGAGTACAATGTACATTGTAAACATGACAATGTATTGATTCTGAGGCTCAGTGATGACTATTTTAAAAATGAATAGCCATTGCTTATTTTATTGATGAGGTTGCAAGGCCATGCCAGTCTGTAGCAACATAATCAGTCAAAAATCTTGTGGCACTTTAAGGGCTATCAAGGATTGTTTGGCCCACAGTTTCATCAAATATACAAATCAGACTATCTAATCAACTTCTTGCCGCTTTGAATTCTATGACAAAAACAGACCCATTTGAATAAATTCTCAGTTTTTATGTTAATGATTTCCTTACATTCACATGAAAAGAATTCCAGAAGTTAATAATCAGATTGATCATATCAGCTCTTTTTCTTTAAATAATTGAACTGGCTAGATTAAGCTGTTAGCTGCTGATCATTAAGCCATTAGCAGCTGATCAAGTGAATGCAACCATTGCTAGGAAGTAGGTGCTTGTAAAGTTTCTCCTTGATAACATATATCAATTGGTTTGGGTTTGAGCCTGATATGGTCAGAAATATTTCTCATTTGATGACTTTGTCACTGCAGAAGGTTATGGATGTAATTCACTTTTTGATGCTAAATCACAATTCCCGATGTCAAATGGATTTATGCTGCTGTCTCTCACCTTTTCTTAGATCATCAGCAGAGGTCTTGAGGAATAGCAGAGTGCATTGCTTTTCTCTTCTCCCACAGAGAGAGAATACATTCTCCCACAGAATACAAGTGAATGTGTGTGTCTCTCTGTGTGTCTGTGTGTCTGTGTGTATGCATCTATATATACAGTACATCTATATATACATGCATACAAAAATATGAAGATGCTTAATGGCTTTTACTTTTGTTTTGGATTTTTTATGTGTTCAAATGCTTTTTGATTTCTGGAAACTGTCTGAACTAATCTCTGAAATTTTCTTGGCAAGGCTTTTCAGAAGTGGTTTGCCCTTGTGTCTTCCCTAGGAATGAGAGAGTTACTGGCCCAAAGTCACCTAAGTGGTTTAGTGCCCAAGATGGGACTAGAAGTCATGAACTCCTGGCTTAACCACTACAGCAAACTGACTCTCCTGTAAATTTATTAGCTTTATCTTAACTTATGTTCTCTTAGACAATTACATTCTATAACTTAGGCAATTACATTGTCTAAGTTATAACTAGCATAATTTTTATTAAGTTACAGGTAGCTTAATCCTGATGCATACTTCCTTATATAACCTTCAAATATTATATTTATTAAGGTTTAAAGAACAGACTATTCCTTATTAACATAAAAAATAGATATCAGCTAAGGCAATGCTGCTTTGAAGTTTTAGTATAAGAAATGAGTAAAAAAATACAGCCATGGAACTTATCAAACATCAAAGGAAAATGTCTAAGTTGGTCTTTTTTATTTTTTAACCTTTAGTTGGAATACTACATTGGATTCTGTTGGCTTGCATTGGAGCCAAGGAGCACACTTGAAAACTACTTCAAATTCAAGTCAATATTTTAAAATATTTGTATCCTTATTTTCATTTTTAAATATACCATTCCATTGTTGCTTTATTGTTTATAATGTTATGTTATCTATTTGGGAAGCATGTATATTAACTGCACACTTGTTTTCTGAGAAAAGTGCAGAACAATTTTCATTTTTAATTGCTTCTATTAGCAAATGACTCAGTCCGTGCCTATAACTTTATCCTGGCATTTAGCAGACATTTACTGAGCATATTCAGAAACTAAAGTTGCATTAAACAATTACCCATCTGTTTACAGCCAATGTAGTTGATTTGCTATGGTGTAAGCTATTCTACTCATGTATATGAAACAAATGCTTTACTTATATCACAGATAGTGCTATATACTTTGTTAAAGCAGTAGCCACAATGGCAAATAGCTCCTTGACAGTCAAATTAACTCACAGAAATAATGTTAGGAAAATATTAGTGCAATATAAATTGTTATAAAGTACTCTTAAATTCCACAAAGGAAAACCAGGCTGAAACTATAATATAATATTAATGTGAAATACAAAAGCAGAGCACTTCAACCTTGTATACTTTACCAGCCTTGAAAAAATAAAACTTTTTAAAACTTTTTTTTCACAGTAATGCATTTGCATTTGAAAAGTCTGAAAGAAAATACATCTTCTACTTTAGTGACAATTTTACAAGTTGGGCATTTGTGTGTGTGTGTGTGTGTGTGTGTGTGTGAATTCAGATTCATCCCAAGACCTTTTTCTATCTTTGAATGATCATTATATCAGTTGATGATGTAGTCATGATTTATTTGTCTATGCCTTATCATTGCAAACGATCAGATCCTGAGTCTGATCCAGAGAAGATGTGTGGAGGCATAGCTATGGTTACCAATCTGGGCCATGAAATCAAGATTACTATTATTATAAAGTTATTTTATCATTTATTTATTAAACAAATTATATAGCCACCCAACCCATGCATAGGTAATTTCAGGTAACTCACAATTTTTTTAAAAAAAAAAATCTATCATATAATAAAACCTCACCCTACCCCACAAGGCAGCAACAACACAGTCACTTGATTGGTTTTGTTTCCACTTGTGGTCCCCAGGTCCTCCGACAAAACCACCTCTTTAGGACCTTTCAGAAAAGAAGCAAGTTGGGAACCAACCCTAAGTCAGGGGGAATGGTGTTTCATAAAAAAGGGGCCATTATTAGGAAGGCCGTTTTTCATGCTCCTACTGAATGACAACTCCTAACTTATGGGACCTGATGGACTTGACAGGTGTAATAGGGAAGAAGCACCAAGCCTTTTCCCATTTCTCTTTGTGGGTTGCCACATTTTTGCAGCCCAAAGTCTGATAGGTCTAATAGAGCACACTCCATTATGAGTTGCTACTTTCTGCCCTTCGGGATCTGTTATTATTATCAGTGTTCTGACCCAGGTTCCCAAACATGACAAACCCTCTGACATGAACTCAAAAGTTTCCTTTATTAGGAATGCCGGCAGCCCCGGCAAAAAGTTTATCTTGCAGCCTAACAAGTCTGTCCGTCTGGAAGATGAATAGTTGTCTGCCACACCTATTAATCTGTGCCCCCTGCCTTTTATCCCCAGAGCTAGGGTGGGGCCTCATTATAGTGGTAGCTCTTCCTTCCCTAGGATTGGCCCATGGGTTTCCACTGCTGTCCACTTTTCTGACTTCTGCGCAGCTGAGCATCAGGCACTGAACCCAGCTGTTCCTCTTCTTCTTCATCAACCACCTCCAGACCTGGGAGCTGTTGACTCTGAGGGCTGACAGATGGCCCAGACTCTGCCTCTGCCTCTCTCTCTCTGCCGGCTCCATTCCCTTTTCCACCTTGGAGCTCCCAGATTGCTCTAACTTCCACACCTCCTTTTTCTCTGATTTGGCTGTTGGAGGGGTTGGCAGCCGATGGGCCACAACTATCAGGTTTACAATGTTTGATAGTGAACCATGTAGCTATGTAGTGAATTTATTTTAGGCTTAAACTTTAGTCCCATTAACATACAGCCGGAACTAGTCTTGGGTAAAAAACAGACTGTACTATTTTAGTATGTATTCAATTTGAGGATACATATTGGAGAGGCCAGTCAGCTCAGAAACTGCACTTACATCTCATTTATTTTCTTCCAGTACAGAAACAGTTTGTGCACAAAACCCAATGAGTTTATTCTTTGGGAGCATTTGTGAATTTATTTTTTTAAAAGTACATTCCTTATGTACAAAGCCATAACTTTTTACAGGTAGTATATATGCCTAAATCTTCTATATGAAAATAGCAAGTCTAAATAACTCTTTGTACTTTTTTCCCTGAATTAACTCTTAATTTTTTTTAAAAAAAATTATTGGTTATATGAGTACAATATTTCTTAAGATGCCAATAGACCAGAGTTCTAATAGTAGTATTTGGGGCCAGTGCAACATTTTTAAATATTTAAATAATTGATAAAGCAACCCAATCCAATGGAGGACTCCTGCATCACTCTTTCTAAGAACTATTTTTTTAAAAAAAAATACTACACCAGCTGATTTAAATCTTTTTCCCTGTTGGAAAAACCAGCTTACTGCACTGTGAAAGTCAATCTGTTTATCATAGCATCACAGATAAAATTAATGTATAAGGCAGCTCCAGGCTAGGATACTGACTAGTACTTATAACTTTTTTATGCCCTTTGTTCCTTGATACAGTGTTGTTTGTTATCAAGGATCAGAGAAGGATCTGCAGGGAAGACACAGAAGAATGAAAGTCATATTATATGTTATAGGCAGGCCCAGTAATCTTTGTCTTCCTCTTTCTATGTGCTACATAAAACACTCCTGCTTCTAACATTGTTCTAAAAGCCAGAATATAGAAATTCTGCATTTAAAGAAACAATAAGACATATTTCAGAAAACATTCCCTTAATTGACATGGAAAAAGACCATCAAGAATTGATTCATAGTTTTTGTCCAAGCTGGGTATTTCAGTTTAGCAATTTACAATCACAATGTTTTTTCCTAATACATGAAGTAAACTAGTAATTTTTTACAAACAGTGTAGGAGTTCATGACTGTAGTTAATCTCTCTGTTCTTTATATAATATAATCTTTCTGTCCTTTCACATCCATTGTACAAATAAATTCATAAATTCAAAATCATGTTGAGTTAATTGAACATAAAAGAAGATGTTAGTGCATTGTTAAGTCTTGTGCATAAGTTATCTTTTCCAAGAACCTTTTTTTTTTTACTAATTTCAAAATATTACAAGTAACTATCTTCAGCTATAGTCTCCAATATATTCCAGAGTTTCATATGTTTCTTTCAATTTACTCTCTAATAATTGTCATTGCAATAGAGTTGGCATTGCAATGGAGTCAGGTGCATGATAGCAAACAATTAGCAGTTCAGATCAAAGTATCCAGTAGTTTAAAATGTACAAAAATAACTCTTAAGTTTCTGGTTCAATTGAGAGTGGTTCAGTTCCACAGAATTTGGACCATCGAGTGACTTGAAATCTTTTTCATATATGTATGCTTTTAAATAGCAAGTCATCTATTTTATCATGATTCCAGCATTACCAAAGTTAGCAGAAAGTTACCAGCTTCCAGTGCAAGTATCTTGCTGTGTTTTAAGAATGATCCTATAATAGTCCTTATGGAATGGGAATAACCGCTTGCAAGAAAGTACAGTGTCTTATATTCCAAAATCCTAAAAAATCTGAAGAACTCCTAGAATTACTGTCTTACTGCACTCCTTCTGCCCACTTCCTTAAACAAAACTTTACTGCAGAACCTCCAGCAAAATAGGATGAGGTTCATAACAATCACACCATCTTTTATTTGTCCAGTCTCTGTACAACTATTGACCTTCATGTATGGCCCTAAGAAGTATTAGTGTCTTCACTAGTTTGCTTTGACAAGTAGGGAAAGAAAAAAAGTGGGCTGTGTATCTTCTACTTCTTGATACACCACAGCCCAAACTGTTTCATTATCTTCCCCCAGTGGCCTCATATACATATTGAAAGGAAGGATGACAGAATGAAACCTTGTGGAATTCCGCATGAAAGAGAGCCCACGAGGCAGCTCAGCAATTGCCCAATATCATCCTCTGAGATCTCTCTGAGAGGGAAGAATGGAACCACACAAGTGCAATCCCATCAACCCCAACCTAGATCCACAGGTGAGTCAGCAAAACTCAAAGGTCATCACTTCAGTTGATCGTTAGTAATTACTCATCACTGGCAAGCCTTTATTCATTAGTTAGTAGCAACCTAATGTTGGCATTAGATGAGACTTCACCTATCCCCAGAGCATTCTTGCCATGATGGTCCTCAACATAATATATTCTTGGTGAAAGAAAGGTGAAAATTAGAAATCAGCAAACCTGAAAGCTCACATTAAGAGATATCTAGGTCTTATTTTACTATCTTCCAATTAAAAGTATTTAATATTCTATTTTCTTCAGGAGAACATTGTGGCTAATTCTAACAGGAGGATCCTTCTATTGCTGCATAAATCAGTAACAGACTGGTAGAATAATTCAAGTTTATAAATAGGAAAGCCAATAGAAACTACTTTGGGAAAAAAAATCCATTTCAGTCTTCTTAGAAAGAATCTCTGCAGTTTCAAATACTGCCAGTCATCCACAGCCTTAAAATCTTGTGTTACTTGAAGAAGACTCTTTTTTTTATTTTATTCTCGGCAAAGTCTGGATCTTGAGTTTAATTAATCTCTTGGGTTATTTGATAAACAAGTGAAGGCAAAGTTTTCAATGTCTTTTCACAAGTGATTTTTGCCATTGATCCCCGAACTGAATAGTTAATTATAATAGTATTAAAATAGAAAAGGATGCCTCTATCTGTTTTTAAAATTATGTGAATTAGGTGAAGTTATCTAGGTTTTCTTGTTTTGCTTCTCAGATTTACTATTTTAATAATTTTGAAATAAACCAATCCTTAAACATTGCCATAAACAATGATCACAAGCATCAAATCATCTAAAAAAAATCAGTGGTCATGAAGACAACATATATCATCTGATACCCATCTAAAATATAGATAGATAGATAGATAGATAGATAGATAGATGATAGATAGATAGATAGATAGATAGATAGATAGATAGATAGATAGGTATAGGTATAGGTATAGGTATAGGTATAGGTATAGGTATAGATGATATAAATATAGATATAGATATATCCACCTACTTTGGGGAGCTTGCATTTCTTGGCTTTAATAATCTGGACTGTCAACTCCCAACATCCTCATTATTTGGTATTCTTGGAGAAATGGTGATCAGAATTTTATTAGGAAAAAAAGGCTAAGGGAAATCTGGCAACTCTCAAAGCAAACAAACATGAAAAGCACTTTGATGCAGATGCCCTAATAGATGGTTGAACACTGACTCTCATATCGGGTACAAATGACAAAGTTTTTTTTAACAAGATTTCAAATACCATCTGTTGTGCAAAGCTGGAAGTAATAAATTTCTGAGTAAAGCTTGTAGATTCATACTAAATTTTGACTTTTTACTGCACTTTCATATTGTAAAATGAATACTGCAGGTAATTTATTCAACACATAGATATCTTTCCCTAGTTTGAGCAAGAAAACATTTAATAAAGAGAAAATATTTATTGATTTATTTATTAAATTTATATGCTGCCCATCCACTTAGAGACGACTCTAGGCAACTTACAAACAAATAGAATCAACAGAGCTGGAAGGAACCAGAGTTGCAGATCTTCTAGTCCAATCCTCTGCTCAGGCAGGAAATCCTATACCATTTCAGACAAATGGTTGTCCATTCTCTTCTTAAAAACTTCCAGTATTAGAGCATCCACAACTTCTGGATGCTATTCATTCCACTTTTGATTAATTGTTCTCACTATCACGCCATTTCTCCTTAATTCTTGGTTGCTTCTCTCCTTGATTGGTTCCCATGTATTGCTTCTTGTCCTGCCTTCATGTGCCTGCCTTTGGAGAATAGGATGACCCACCCCCTTCCTTGTGGCAGCCCCTTAGGTATTGGAGCACCACTTATCATGTCACTCCAGTCTTTCTTTTCATTAAGCTAGAGTAAGTGAAACAATTAAATATTAACATTAAAATTGACTTAAAACTAACAGAGATGGCAAGGAAGGGAGAAAGATACACATGGGGTGAAGTCCTATCTCAGTCCTTTAACCACTTTCAGATCAAACAAGATGTTCTAGAGGGTAGGAACCACAGCAGAAAATGTACTCCTCCTGCCAGCCAAAATTCCTTGATCGACAGGATTCATAACATGCCCCCTCTGTTGCACAGGGGAAGAGATGGACCAATGCCATTGGGGTGAGATAGTTCCTCGGGTAACCTGAATCCATGCCATAAAGGGTTTTAAAGATAATTACCAATATGAAATATTGAATTGAAAGTATTAGAAGCAAAGTGGCAACCAGTGCAGCTTGTACAATGGTGCTATAACATGGCTTACCCTAGGGGCCCAAGAAATGTCAATATGGCTGCATTCTGTGCCAGCAGTAGCTTCCAAAGACACTTCAGCTTTTGAATTTTTTTTTAATCCTTCTTTTGGGAGGTTGGGTGGTTGGGTGGGTAGAATTTAACGAAGCAAAAAGGAGGTACAAAATATATTCATGAATATCATTCAGAACCTCTGGATAGAGCTCTCTTTAGATAGAGATTTTTCATTTGTTCTTTCTTTGGATTGAATTAAATAATTTCCTAAAACCTGATCTCCTATGACACCATGTATGTAGATCCAAATAGGGACAGAGCATCAGAAATTAATCTGAAAAACAATACTGAGAGAATAGTTTCAGTTGTGTTCCCAGTCTAATATATCTTCCCAAGCTGTTATTGTCCTCTTGAAGAATGACTGTCTATCTGTCTATCCATTCATATTGTTTGTCAGTCTCTCTGTCATATAATCTATCCATACGAGAGGAAAATGGGAAAGGGAAAAAGCGAAGAGCTTCTATATCTATAGCACATTCTTAACTTGAGTCACTCCTGGCTACTTTGGACTAAAAAAACAAGTGGGAAAACTGATCACAAAACATTGTAATTCTGTAAGTCCTTTTGCTCTGAAGAGTGGCAAATTCTTCATTTTATGCATGGGGGTTCCTTGATAGATCACACCATTCTTCAGGGATAGCTTATCAAGATATATATTCACAGTATACAAAAGAAAGTCTGAAGATAAATAAAAAAGACTCTAATCTGACATCTGGAAAAGTTTGAGCAAAACTTTGCAGCTGGGAAAAAAAGTTTATACAATCTATACATAACTCTCCAACTCATAATATATACTAAACTTGTCTTCAGATACCTGTGCTAAATATTGCTACTTCCTTGAATACAATAGTGATCAGAAGTAGTGGTCCCAATGTAAAATGGTCTCTCCCTCTCTCCCCCTCCCTCCCTCACCCACCCTCTCCCCTCACATGCATGTATGGGGAGAGCGAGAGAGAGCACAACAACCCCATAGTTGTTTGTGTTGGGTTACAATTGGCTCATTGTGATTTGGGATTTGATGGTCAGAGGAAGCTGTTCTGTATCTTAAATTAATCAGGCACTAATGAATTTTGGTTTGGGGAAACCAGTGCAAAGTGTAGAGGACTATATAATAAAATATTAGAAATACCTGCAGGGGGAAAATGCATATCTTGTGATTGTAGAACTCCTTGGATTTGATTTGAAATGGTACTTTTAGTTGTAAGCCCATATCTGTGCATGTGTAGGTATAAGTACAAAGACTACTGTTCCAACAATAAAGAATGTATGAAGCTATATTTTCAAATGTTGGCTTTTTCTCCTCTTGGGTTTACTAAAATTCAGCCAAAATGATCAAATCACCAGAAGTAACAAATCTATTATGAGTGCTATACACTTGGTTATGTTGAAACAAGATAGAAACCCTGGAACCTGGTAAAAAGGAAGCCACATTAACAGGTTTTCTTTTTCAGATGACCTACTGTTAACCATACAAAACCAGAGTTTGGTTTATGATAACCTTGATAGTAGATATAGTCTGTAGCCTCAATTATGCATCTCCCTGTGGTTTTTAAAATGATTTGTCTTATTAAACTTGATGATTTGTCTTATTAAACTTGATATTCTTGAACTTTACAATGTACTTCAAGTGGGAGCATCAAAGGATGCACTGAAAGGATGAGAAAGCTTTTTGGAGCTTTTTTTTTTTTTTTGCAAAAGCTCTTTTGTTTGCAAACTCTTCTTTGCAGAAAAAACATCTGGAATTCCTACACCATTGTATACTTCCATTCCTGACAGGATTAAGCAGAAGAAGTCGTGGTTTTATTTCTTTTGATTTGCAATAATTTAGGCATGAATTTTTTTCTGATTATATTCCAAAAAGTGTTTTAAGTAATGCTCTGAAACTATTTGGTTTCCAGCTTCCTTGTCATTTTCTTGTTGGGAATGATGATAAGGTCCCTGATATCTATGGAGATTCTCGGTCATACAGTTCATGGTTGTCTCAAAGGTGCTTTTTCAAAAGGCAACTAGACTATGTTTTTTTTTTCCCTTGAGGAGGAGGATATTTCACTTCTCATCCAAGAAGTGATGAAGCTTCATGGATGACAAGCAAAACATCTTCTTCAAGGAAAAAAAAAAACATTACAGTTGCCCTGTTGATTTTAGATGTAATGAAGGGTCCTTGGTGTTCTTTGAAACATCTGCAAGAAAACAATCAAGCTCAGAGAGCATCAAGGACCCCTTTCACTTCTGAATTTCAAATATTCTCCTTTATTGATCTAGATGTAATTCATGCATGAGTGAGTGATTGATGAATTCCAGGGAAAAATATCAAAACTAAATATTTTAAAACAGATGGATGCAATATAAAAACTTGTTCCATTTTGTCATTATTTTAACTATTCTTGGGTGTAGCTTTCAACTTTTTGGTCTCTTTTGCTGATTATTCAGCATTTATAAATTTAACTTAGCACCATTTAATACGAAAGCAATATTTAAACTAGACATTTATTCAGAATAAATATGCATTATTTTGAAGATTCAGAATGTCATGATCTGAAGACCTTCGCTAGCAGTAATTAATGAAAAGAGGTGTTTGAATGCATATTTATCCTGAGAATACTGTGAACATGTATGTTCAGTAGCTGATGACTTTTGGAATATCCATTGACAGTTTCCATTTGTACAACAGTAATCACTGATGCAGGAGGTTTCAGCTGGATGCAAAAAAGGATCTTTTCATTTCAGCTGCATCACTTTCCATGTGTGCAATTATCAGCTGTGACTCATCCAATCACCGCCTCATTAAACCACCAAGTAATATACATGGGATCAACTCTTTATATGTAATGTACATTATTAGAACCTACTTAGAAAATAAAATGTTTTCAGAAAGCCGAAACAGCTTGATGGCAGTTTAACCACATGAGATGCATATTTAAAATATAACAATGTTGTTAGGAGATTTTGGCTGAAGCACAACATATATTTAAAGGTTGGGAAGACTGAGCAATCAGAAGATTTATAATTTCAGGTGAGAAATGATTCAAAATTTGAAATGTTGCCCGTATTAGCCATGGACTTAGGAGCAGAATTTTTATCAATCATTTCACATACTAGGTTGGGCTGAGCTTCAGTTAGAAATTGAAAATAAATGACTTGATTAATATCAAATGATTAATTAATATATGTGCTACTATAATAACAGCAATAATAATATTATGATTTTCTATTTTCTTCTTTTCATTTTTTTTCTCCACACATCTCCTATAGAGGTCCTTTTGTAGTGCCATGGTAGAGGAGCTGAGAATGTCCTTGAAATGTCAGCGTCGGTTAAAACATAAACCACAAGCTCCAGTAATTGTGAAGACAGAAGAGGTTATCAACATGCACACATTTAATGACAGAAGGTTGCCAGGAAAAGAAACTATGGCATAGAGCTGGGAGACCACCCAACCCCAAGCACAAACTCTTGTTTTTTTTCCCCCTTTCCTTTCTTTTCCTTTTCCCTGCCCCCAAACCAACATTTGCGAGAATGTTTCCTGTGGAAATATGCAACCTGTGCAAAATAAAATGAGTTACCTCATGCCGCTGTGTCTATGAACTAGAGACTCTGAGATCTAAGCAGTTGCAAAGGCCAGACTCGAATCACAAGCATCACAGAGCAACCGTATTTGTTCAGGGGAGGGAGGGTCGGGTGTTGGCATTCCACTGTTTGTCATGGGGTCCACCTTTCTGTAACAAGCAAAAGTTCTATGGGAATTTTCTGGAATCACAGTGAGAAATGGCAGGTATCTTTCTGAAGTGCATCATTTGCCAGGGACTGGAGAAGCAACCAAACAGCTTCAAGAAAGTAACTACTGTACCAGAGGAGTTTCTGAAAAATAATAGCTCAAAACTCTATTTACAGGGGGAAAAAACTGTTCTGTACTCTTGAGCATAGAAGACCTTGTAATTGCTGATCAAAATCAATATGGGCCTGCCAGCTGATGGGAGCTTATTCAGAGGGAAAGTCATGAAAAAAGGAAACCATAAATAGAAGAATGAAAACAGAAGTGTTACTTGCAATTTTTGTTTCCCTCACTGTGTCATTCAACTGAATAAAAGATAAAAACGTATGCCAATAGAAAATCACATAATTCATCTGTGTTGGAGCTTGGAGAGAACCCAAAGGAGGTGGGCCATATTTTAAATGAGAAAATAAAAAGTTTTCCCTCAGTTTCTTTTCTTAAAGATGATGTTCCTTATGATGCCTAACTATAAGCAATTCTGTCATTGTTTAACTGTGAAGCAAAGTACACATTTGATATAGCAAAATAGTGTAATTTGTAGCCCTGAAGGGGTCTGGAAAACTCTTGTTCCTGTTCAAAATGAACTCAAGGGAGCCTGTGGCATTCTCACAAGTAGCTGAAATATAGACGGGCCACCTAACCAGCAGGGAAAGTGGAGAACTTAAAAACTGGACTGCATTTCTCAACACAATCAGTGGTGTTTAAATGAGCAACATTCTTGAGCCTTTTTTTCCCTCATCCAAAAACAAGAGGGAAAAGAATGTTCAGATTTATTTGTGGAAATGCAAGATTTCTATGAAAATAGTTTTTTGTATGGAAATTTTTTGTAATACTTTTTAAATCAACCATCTCAAGAGCCTGCGTTTCAATCACGGTCAGGGGTGTGGTGCAGAGTGGCTGGTAGTGCGTGTGCACCACCAACGTTTGGTGAAAACTATTTTTATCATGGAAAAAAAAGGGGGGGGGAATCTTAGAAGAGAAATATTTTCAAGTTAGATAATATAATATCTAGGTGCACTACCAATACTGCTTATAATACCACACCCTTGGTTTTCACAAGCCTGATATTATGCTGTAATGAACTGATGTGTGTAAATTATGAAAGACACGGACCTCTTGACCACATTGTGATAACAGTTGAAATACACACAGTTTGCTGTTTGAATCCAATGCACAAACATTAAAAAAAACAATGATCACGACACATACATAACGAAAATTGTCCGTTTTCAGTTGTTTTCTGGGAAGGGTGGGTTGGAAATTTCAATGTGATTTGAACAAGATGCGTGTAGGACTGTTAGAACTTACAATATTAAGATCTAATTCTGCACTCATCACCCTCCTGAATTTGCAAGAACATCAGCACCTGAAATGTATTTCAAGACTAGGCCCACTCTATCTCACTGGCTACTATTCCTTTCAGTTAGTTGTTAAATGCTGGGCATTGTCTAAAGAGAATCCCTTCTGTACAAGATCTCTGGGAATGGATAACAGTTGCAGAATATGTTCATGTGCAACTTTTATTATTTTCAGCAAAATCTATACAGAAGAACCATCTGCTGATTGCTTCTTCCTGCCTTCTGAAGCTCTGGGTAAGGAGCCCCTGTGTGAATAATATATAAAACAACTAGTGTTTCAAATACCTTTCTGGTGCTCAAAACAGATGTGATGCCATCTTAATAATTTTAACATAGTCTTACTGTAAATTTGTATCCTGAAAATGTATAATGAAGGGACACTTGACTATAGTCACAGTTTATAAATATAGCTTTTTATGCCAAACAAATCACTTATTTCTTTTCTTCTTTTATTTTTAATAAACAGAATCCAAACATTATTTTGTACAAACAACGAGTCATCTGTAGATAATGAACATATTATTTGTATATTCAAGGCAGAAAAGTTCATTAAAAAAAAAACCTGCACTGTTTTTTTTAAAGTTCTTCATAAAGTGTTGCATGTGTCTATAGACAAACCAACTCTTGCAATACATGAGAACAATTTATCCTGGTTGTTGCTGCTCAGAGCACATGGAGAGGTCTATACTCCAATATTCCCTGGTTCCTCTTTATTCCCTCTGAAAACAAAGCAAGGTGTGACTCATTGTGAGATGACTCAAATGGTGAGACCCATTTGCACTGGGATTTGGCTGTGGGCTGTGGCTGTAACTCACAGATGCCTCAAGCAGTTAGAGTTCCTCTTTGTTTCAGCAAAAGACTGATATTCTTAGTGTCCCAAAGTGCCACAAGAGCATAGGAGATCACTTGTCAATATCATATGGAGAATAGTAACTACACTTTCACATACATACGGAAATCCCTGATTTCTTCCAGTTTCCCCACAAAAAAATCATCTTGCATAATAGAGCTTGTTTATAATTGCAATATGTTTCATGTATGCAACTGCTTTGCTAAAGTGAAGTTCAGTATGGGTAAATTACATTGTGCAAAAGTTGTACTACTGATTTGGAACACTCGGGAAACAAAAGCTTGTTATGAATTGGAACCTATGTGCCTTGTTCTGCACGTTTTCTTTCATAAAAAGAAAGACTTTATAATGAAATTCAGGAAAATTATTCCCATCCTTGACTCTTTTTACACCCTACTCAATTTGGTTTTGATTTTGTTTTATGATATTGCAATACAATGTATTTCAAGCTGAAGTATTATGAATTAGATCTTGCCATCAACATCATAGCACAGATCAAGGACTGTTTAAGTATAAGAACAAGTGGACCTGAGCTATTATTAAGTTCACATAAAACAATTGGCACTGTGTGTGAATTATTCACCAATAAACAATTTGCAATTAGTACCCCCATTCAGAAACAACCAGAGTGCTGTTGTAGTTAAGGTACTGAACTAAGGTTCTAAGACTCTCTTGGCATGGAAATCAACTAGTGTTCTTGCACCAGTCCTACTCATCATAATCCAGCTTTGCCACATACTGGGTGGGGGGAGGGGGAATCCTCATTGTATCATGTATTAATAAGCATTGCTTTAGGGATTAAGTAAACACAATGCAAAAAAGCAGATTATTCAACTAAACAAGGAAAATGCTGAGAATGAGAGCAATCCCTTTGCCTATTAGGAAGATCATAGGGCATCTGCAGATCAACCAATTGTAAAAGTCTAAGTTTTAAAGTGTAAGATACAGGTTTGATTATGTTCTATTGCTTGTGTTTGCATTACATTAAATTCTAATATGACATGGTCACTCTCACCCAAACTTCTGGCAACTACAAACCCCCCTCTATCACTTCTTTTCTATTTGTAAGATTTGGCACCAGTATAGTTATTCTTCTAGTTCCCTCCTCTACCTTTTGGAGAGTGATTAACTGTTCCTTGGCTGTGTTGCTATATTATTTTGGGAATCCCACTGTATAATATGAGGACAATGGGGCAGGAGCAAAGAGTATGAACTTGCAAAGATGAAGTCAGGAAAGCTAAGGCTCAAAATGAAGTCAAGGAAATAATCTATCCACTAATAGAAGAAGATGTCAAGGAAATAATGGGCAGTAGAGAGAAAGCACAGCTGCTGAATTTATTCTTTGTATCTACTTTCACGCAAAAAGAAAATATAGCCCAATCTACCAAAAACATAACCATAAAAGTCAGACCAGGAATACAAATAAGCAAGAAAATGGTAAGAGAACACCTGTCTACTCTAAATGTATTTAAATTACCAGGACCTGATAGATTACATACCAGAGTTCTGAAGGAACTGGCAGACCTGATCTTGGAACCCTTGGATCATATCTTTCAAAGATCCTGGAGCACTGAGGACTGGAAAAGAACTGATGTGGTTCCCATCTTTAAAAAAGGGAAAAAATATTCAGGAATCTATAGACCAATCAGTCTGACATCAATATATAGGAAGATCCTGAAAAAGTTAATCAAGCAACAGATCTGCGAACATTTAGAAGCAAGCAAAGTTATAACCAGAAGCCAACAAGTGTTTATCAAAAACAGATCATGCCAGACAAATCTTATTTCATTCTTTGATAAAGTGATTAAATCAGTGGACCAGCAAAATACTGTGGAGATAGTATATTTGGATTTCAGTAAGGCATTTGACAAAGTAGGTCACAATATACTTCTTTGTGGTCTGCTTTGTGGTCTAGCTAGAAAAATGTAGGATAGACAGCTCCACCACGAGATGAATTTGTGACTGGCTAACAAACTGCACTCAACATGTAGTCCTTAATGGAACTACAGCAACATGAAGCAGTAAGGTATTCCATTTTAGCACCCATTTTAGTCCTAGTACTCTTCAATAGATTCATAAATGATTTAGATGAATGAATAGAAGGGGAGCTCATCAAATTTTCAGATAACACTAAACTGGCAGATGACACTAAATTGGCAGGAATAGCCAATACCCAGATAATAGTATCAAGATCCAGAACAGACTTGAGCATTGGGCCCTATCTAACAAAATGGAATTCAATGTAGAGAAAAGTAAGGTTTACACTTAGGCAAGAAAAACCAAATGTACAGGTATAGAT